TACACTGAGATGGCGATTGAGATTGGGCCTGTAATCCTAGCTCTTGGGAAGCTGAAAACATGAGGATCACTATAAGTCCGATCTATGTAGTGAGACCCTGTAGACGCTGTGCTACATACATTAAAAACTTTAAAAATAGTAATTAGGGATATTTGGAGAACAGTATTTTAAATCATTCTAAATTGTATGCTTGACTAGCTCCATTTTGATAAAACAGCAAAATCATTAGGTTAGTATACCTGCTTCAAGTCCCTAATTTTGATAATTTTTTTTTTTTTAATTTTATTTGTGTGTGTGGGTGTGTGTGGGTATGTGGGTGTGGCCAGCTCAGCCCACCAGGGGGTGGGGCTGGCTGGCATGTGGTGCTGGGGGATTGAACCGCGATCCCTATGCTTTGCCAGGCTTGCGCCAAGTAGGTGCTTTAGACCACTGAGCCATCTCACCAGCCCAACTTTGATAATCTTAATAAAATAGCATTAAAACCTTTATAAATATAGAGGTTTGGGTTCCGTATTGGCAGTTTCTCAACCATGCCTTCATGATGTACATTGTAATTTCATTATTTATGAAATGGATGTGATTTGTGGAGGTTTGTTTTTGTTTGTTTGTTTTTTTGCAGTACCAGGGATAGAACTCAGGACCCTACATTTGCCAGGCAGGCACTTATGCCACTGAGCTATATCCCTGGCCCTGTGGAAATTTTTTTTAAACTACTATAATACCTTTTTACTAAATCAGAGTGCATTTGAAGAGCATATTTATTATTAGTTTGTTTCATTTGGATGAGACTTTAATTCCTGGGAGACATTGATGGGTTTGTGTTCAGTTATCAAGTGTGTTGAGATTTGGCAACTGCTATATTACACTTTACGCCTTATGACAGTGTGGACAAGCGCAGCCCACATTTCATACCTAGTATATATTTACTAAATGAATGAGTTAGCATTACTAGTTCACAAATCTGTCTTCTTCCTTGAAACATCTTTCCCCTTAAAATGATATATAGGCCAACAAGATAGGTCAGCGGGCTAAAGCGCCTGCTTAAGCAAGTGCAGAGACCACAAATCAATTCCCCACACCACATGCAGCACTGGCCCCACCCCCAGGGTGGGCTGAGCTGGGCATAGTGACATCTCTGTGATCCTAGCACTGGGGAGGCTAAAAAAACAGAGGAGGATCCCTATGAATCTGAGCTGTGTAGTAAGACCCTGTAACAACCAAATACATTTTAAATATGTATAGGGGAAAAAGCATTTACTTATGATACTGTGTCCATTTTCCTTTGCATTTTGATTCTTCAGTGAGGATCAAAGTACAAAAGCTTCTGAAAATACTGAAAACCGAAAAGAGGCTGATGAAGTTAGCAACACTAAAACATCTTCTCAGACACCCGCTCAGCCACCAGCAGCAAAAGGTCCCTATGGGAAAGGTCCTCCTTTTAATCAGGTTTGTTGGGTTCATAGTTAATCTTGCCATTGCTGATAGTGTGGATCAATTAATCTTACAGATTTGGTGAATCCCTGGCATGCCATGCTGACTGGGGCACGCTGAGGGGGTGATTGAGACTGGGCATGGTGACACGTGCCTGTAATCCCAGGGCTTGTGGGGGCTGCGAATAGGAGAATCCCTACAAATCTGATCTATGTAGTGAGACCCTGTAGATCCTGTCCTAAAAAGAAAATTCTCACAGATTTGGGCAGGGACTCAGAAGGGAAAGTATAGTTTTTTAAGTAGCACTGAATGGTTATGAGTATGTTTTTACTGTGTACTAGCAGGAATTAACTATGCTAGCCAAACTTAAGCACAAACTAAAATTTTACTTTATATATTGTTATAATAGGACAGTCATGTCAAAGTAGAGTGATGATGTTTTTCCAAAGTAAAATGAATGTATTGGAAATGCTTTATCATTTACTGAATACTCTATAAGTCTTAGTTCCTGTGTGTGAAATAGTGCACTGTCTTTGCAGTGAAATCACATGTAGGAAGGCTTATTATGAAGTCTAGTCATTTTGAAGAACATTGTAAAAGAAGAGAAATATCTTAAGTAGTGGGCATACTCAATCACACTTGCGAGGTGCTAACAGGTGATAGAAGCTGCATTACAAACAGAAGAAGGGGTACCTTTCAAGAGAGCCTGCATGCCTCTCATTAAGGACATGTAATACAGTTAACATGTATTTGAGAACTGTCAAAGCTAAAAGGAGCTCTCTTCAAAAGGGGGAAATGATTATAAGTAACAAGTACAGTGTGGGAAGTCAGGTGATAGAATGCACATAGTGAATGCTTAAAGAATACAATCAAGGCTAAAAGACTTTGTAAAGCAGTTGGTATTTGAGCTAATGCTTTAATAGGAAGTAGCAAGTAAACAGCTATTCCAAGTACTGGGACATACACAAAGTAGAGAAGTATGACCAAGCAAGGCACTTTCAAGAAATCCTAAGTGGTTTGATATGGGGGGATAGATAACTATACAGAGCTTTTATTGGAACTGGGGGTGTGACTTGTTGGAAACTTACCTATCTAAGGAATGCTAACACCTTGGGTTCAGTCCTTAATACTGCAAGAACTATTTGTTTTATATACTGTATTAGGGATTTTAGATTGTATTCTTTAATATTGATGACCCATCGAAGAATAAATTCAACCCTGAAAAGGAAGTTTTTCAAATAATACTTTAATAAAAATATTCGTGTGACTTTTTACTTACTGATATACTGAAAATTGTGAATTTCTGTAAGAAATAGAAATATAAAGAATGTACTGTGTCTTACTGTCTTGATTTTGTGTGTGTGTAGTACAGTTACGCATGTTAACATATGAATATTGAGATACAACCTCTCCCAGGCCAGGCTACCTGAGTCAGAATTACGGAACTGCTATACTAGAATGCTATTTGCAACATGGACTTGAGAGTATAGCCATATTGGCATGACAGATCCTTTAGAAAGTGTGTAGTGAGCAGCATGCTTTATGGAGAGTAAAGCACAGATAGCTGTACTTTTACAATTTTTATTTTCTGATTAAGGAAATGAGTATAGTACGTTCAGAAATATTTTTAGATGCTTTTTTTTTCTTGTCTAAATAGTATTTTAATCCTTTCTTTCTAATAGGAACGTGGCCCATCTTCACATCTGCCACCACCTCCAAAGTTGCTTGCACAGCAGGTAAATTTTAACTAAGTTCCAGTTAATGGTGTATTCTTAATTAATTTTGAATGGAAAGGTGTTATGTATGTTTATGACTTTTAAGTTAAAATAATTAGCTTTTTACCTTATGGCTGTTGCATGTTTTTCTTTACATCCTTATCATGTTTATTCTTTTTTTTTTT